AAAAAGTATATATGTATTCAAGCTTGAACTTTGAAACTATTAAGCTTAAGATTTTCTGAGAGTAATTCCGCTTTAAAAATGTACCAAAAGTCACCAATTAGGCTCGTGCGTGACGAAAACAAAAGAGTTCTTCCGAGACTTCTTCTAACCGAAAACTGTTTAGTGCCATCCAGGGACTTGAGATCATTCAAAATTCTGGTCGTCTCGAGATCGTAAGTTAATCCTGCAAAGGTGTTATAGTTGATGGCCAAAGATTTTACGATAGAAAATTTTCATGACATGGTCTAATATTTTTTGAAATCTCCGAAGTTTTTCTTGAAGAAATCATTGATCCGTCTGTTCCACGAGAGAAAATTATTGCCAACTTTATTTATAGCCACGAAGCAGGATGTAACTAAAGCTTTAGCCTTCATAAGATCTATTTTTAAGAACGATAAAATTCTTAATCGGTAACTGAACAACCTTTAGGAAATTTTATTGTTTGCGTGATTCCAAATTATTTATTCATCAAGGAATAAGGTAAAAAAAATGATCTGACCCTTACACTAACTTTTGACAAACAGGTAATTTAAGATGCGTCCAAATAAAAATTACGAATTTTATCATTCCGTTTTATCATTCAATCAGTAAGTTTAATAAATTATCTGTAGACATGACGAGTTCACATCACTGCATTGTAAAAATACCGAAGTGTATTCGAGAGTCATAAGCGCGAAACGTTTGTCAATAAAAGATTGTTTGACGCTAAAAGAAACGTCTGAACCTTGTCTACAAATAAAATTTAATAACAATTTTCCCTGAATCATACACTAACAATTATCTTAACATTAGTGTCCTCGTTTTATTGCGTATCATTGTTGTTGTGTTAATAATTATTTATTTAAGAAATTATAGATTTCTAAAATCAATTTTCAATCATTCACTCTTTTAATTAGATATTGAAGAAAAATACTAAATTATAATACTTTTAAAGACAAATTTAAAAAAATTGTCCAGCATAAACAGTGCATTGCAATTTGAGAGAACAAACTGTTTAGAAGGAAAATAGTCAAAGAATTTAAATATTTTATTAACATACTGAACAACATACTTGAATACACAAAATGCATTATTGTACTCATCTGCTGGGAAAAATATGTTCCCGTAGTGTTTTGTGAATAAATAGCGATGAGTAAAAAAAAAATTTTCTGCAAAAAAGTACTTGTTATTCAGCAAAAAAAAAAAAAAATTCATTTCAAGGTGTTTGAAAATCCATGTAATAATCGTGTCCAAGTCTAACGATGAAAAAGAAAAACTACACGTCACTCTCGTGACGAACACTGTAATGCAAAATTGTTAAAATTATCATCGAAAACCTAGTCTTCAAATCTTCAATTCTGACATTATAAATCGGTTAACCAATACACTCAGTTATAAATTATCATCAGAATTATTTACGACCTTGCACTCGTTCACCATCGAACAACCCAGAGTTACCCGCGATAAGAGGAATAACATCAATTTACCACCACCGATCGCAGACATTTACCTCCAACTTGGAAAAACGTAAGCATTATTGTATCATACTGCAATCGGTTGATCTTATTTGGGAAAAAAAAAAAACATTTTGTCACCTCTTGGTTTCAAACCATTCGAGAAATAGAGTCATCGCAATCTAAATCTAGAAAATGATCGGTAATTCGTCGTTAAAATACAAAACAAGCACATACAACAATAAGCAAAAGCGAGAAAGCAAGTTTAAGTGTATATAGCATACACTTGGTTGCAGTCAAAAGAGAAAATATTGTGTCGTCGCTTGCTTTGGCTGTGCGCTCAGCTATATAGCTATAGTCGACGTTTCCACTCCTCTCTTCGTAGGCACACATTCGGTATATCCCTTTCACGCGTCTCCAAAGTGTATGCCTATATGCTCATTTTTACGCGGATCCACTCCTCTTATCGTAGGTACACACTGTTCGATACGAGTCTCGCACTCTCGTAAAATGTGCGCCTGCTTCGACGGCTGGCTGCGGCG